ACGAGATCCAACGGAGACAAATCTATACACACGCCATTTGACGATGCTAGACGCACCATTGAGACGAGGATCGGACGTGCGAAACATTATTCGTACCGACGGACACCGTCACCGCCACATAATCCCAAGCAAGATGTTGAGCCAAACAAGAATAAGAGCAGGTCCGTCCCACCGATGGAGTGCAAGGTCCTCTGCACCACCACCGGCAACGGCGCCGATCAGAGGTGGAGTAGATCTAATCGCCGGCGAGTCTTTTCTTGGGAGGAGGAAAGAACCGAGCCCTCTCTTATAAAATATAAAGGCACCCATAGTGTGTTGCTGCCAAATTTGCCCATTATTCAGAATTTGGCATTGTCTCCACGACGTATGTGGCTCCCAATTACGGTATGCTGGGTCCCACCAGATGAGTACGGTGGGACGACCAAAAAGAATAAGAGATCTGGTGCATTTGGTAACGTAATCAGACGGTTAAGGAGTCTAAATCGCTCCGAGGGCTCCTAGCTAACTCTGTTTTACCAATTGATAATGGTGTGGAAACAGTTATGGTGACTAGATGGTATTTATGGTGGGATCGCCGGAAAATTAGTCACCAGGAGAATGTTGGTTGCCCGGTTCGTTCAGTTATGAGCATTCGTGGTATCGTGGCAAACTCACTGGCTGCCAAGGCAAAGGAACCTACGAAATAGATTAGATAGGTGAGACCAGCTATAGGGGTGATTAAACTCAATGTTGACGCCAGCGATCATGTGGATGAGGGTGCGGGAGCAACTGGAGCTGTCTTACGAGATAGCTCAGGAGCGTTTGTTGCTGCTTCTTGTTCCTTTTGACAGTATGCCATGGATGTTCCCTCTATGGAAGCGTTAGCACTTTTGGAAGGACTGCGATTGGCAGAGCATTTGGGTATTTATGCACTGGTTGTGGAGTCCGACTCACAGGAGATAGTACAAGCTATGAAGGATCCTTCGGAGTACCGTCCTTCGGCTGCGGTGTTGAGGGATGATTGCCGACAGGTGTTGAGTTCCTTCGGCAGAGCGACGATTGTTCACTGTGCTAGGGAGAGTAATGGGGTAGCGCATTGGCTAGTCAGGACTAGTTATAGAAGGAAGTTAAATGAGGTCTGGCAAGAGCATCCCCTGATTTCTTAATTCCCTCCCTTGTATCTGATATGATTATTTTGTAATAAAGGTCGCCGAAGTTCAGAAAAATACTCTGTTTTAATGTTTAGTAATAGGATAAAAAAACTGACACAACGGTGGGAAATCTGGCTATTGCTTTTGGCTGTTAGGCAAATATAAAATATTTTACGGAAATACTAATGCCCATACGTGTGGCAACATTGTAACTTACCCACATGCCTGGATCATCGTCCAGTTAAGTTTGCACGAATCTTGACACACCGAGGCAGTTTTCACGTGCCACGTAGGACAAGGCTGATGTGTGGGCGTTGGAGAGGTCGCCCACACGCCCCACAGCACGCGGTTGCCAGCTGCGCTGTGTGGGCGAACTAGTTTCTGCCCACACAGCCACTACCTAGTCCACGCGCGTGTGGGAACTGCTTTTCGCCCACACGACGGTCGTATGTTGTTGGATGGCAACTGCAGTTGTGCGTACATGACAACTAGGCAAACACACATGGCAACTATGATTCGTTTGCTAGATGACAACTGCAGTTGCGCGTACGTGGCAATCAGATAAACATACATGGCAACTGTGATTAATCGCACGTGGCAACTAGGTAAACACACATGGCAACTATTGTTTGACCATATGTGGCAAGCAGTTAATCACACACGACAACTATGATTTGATTACATACGGCAACTATCATTAATTAGACATGGCAACTATAGTTAACCAAAACAGGAAGAGTTGACATGCTTTTACAACCATATTTACCATCCCGGATAACTACATCTGCCATTCTGGATGACAACTAAATCGTCCATCCCGCGGGTACCTAATGTAGCTGTGCCAGGACGTGCGGGCATATTTGCTTCGTGCCACATGCACGGGGTGAGGATGAGTAGTACTTATTGAACGTGTGACATGAAGTAGTTGCGTCCACACGTGTGGGTAATTCTACTGTTCACCCACACACAACTCATATGGGCTGCCTCCCGCTTATGCCACACATAATATGTGGGCGAATGTCTATTACGCCACACGTGTGATGAATATCGGTGTCTATATTTTATTGCTTTGGCTCATTTGGCATGAGTGCCCCTACAAGCATCGGTTTCCTATTTTTCTAATTTGGCAGCACCCCCACATTGGGCGGACCTAGTGCTAAAAGCTAGTTTGGCATTTGACACCATCGTTTCAGCATACATTGTGGACGCCCTACCTAAAGCTCCTTTTAGACTCATCTAAAGCAGGTCTACCTCTTTTTGAACTGTACTTAATTATTGTATTTGTTTTCTTTGCGGGGTAAGAGCAACTCCAATGGGGCGATTCATTTCGTTCGCGGCCGTTCGTTTGGATCGGCGTGGACAGAAAAGACGGCCCAACGCGCCGACCCAAACGGACGCGCGCCCGATTTTCGTCCGCGGGCGACCCATTTCCGTCTCATTTTTTTAGCCTGATTTGCGTCGGCGCGGACACGTGACGGACGTGCGCGCACTCGCCTACTCCTGTCCCCGGACCCGCTCGTCTGTGGCACATTTTGCCTCCCCTCCCCCGGCCAACAAGCAACCCTCGCCCCCCGCCTCCTCCGTCATCGACGCCGCCGCCCATTTTGCCGGCGACTCTTCCAGCTGCCGCCGCCTCCACATCCGCCCAGCAACGCCGCCCTGCCCCCAGTCGCCCGCCGCCGCCGTTTTGCCGCCGGGGAGCAAGCTGGTTCCTGTCGCCGCTTCCCCCACCGCGCAGTTGCCCGTGACCAAGAAGACGCCTCGCCGCCCTCGCCACATACGACCAGCACGCTCGTCGGACGCCGGTCGGGCAACTAGCTGGTCTGTGGGCGCCGCGTCTCCCCTCGCCGGCCGTCTCCTTCTTCGACGCCCGCAAACTGGTCGACAGTTTGCCAAGGTACGAAAATGGACTCCGCCGACGAGTTCTTTTTCCACAGTTTCCTTTGCGACTCCGACGATTCGTCATCCAACGATGAGGAGGAGATATTGGCTGCCGTGTTGGTCCATCACCACCTCAACAACCAGCAGCCGTTATTCCGTGGCTCCATTCCGGGCCACCTTCTGGCGTTGAATCGTGACCGGGAGAGCGGGCATTTCCTTCTCTGAAAGGACTACTTTGATACAACAAACCCGTTGTTCAAACACCACAAATTCCGCCGCCGGTTCCGTATGAGTAGGCATGTTTTCAACCGTATTAGAGAGGGAGTGGTCGGCTATGATGACTACTTCGAGTGCAAAGAGGATGCCGTCGGCAAGATTGATTTCTCCTCTTATCAGAAATGCACTGCCGCCATCCGAATGCTTGCATACGGAGTGCCCGGTGATCTCATTGACGAGTACGTCCGTATGAGCGAGTCTACATGCCTAGAGTCCCTGTATAAGTTCTGCAAGGCTGTGATTGCTGTGTTTGGCCCTGAGTACTTGAGAGAGCCGACAGTTGAAGATACCGCCCGTTTGTTGGCGATGAATGCTAGCAGGGGCTTCCCGAGGATGCTTGGCAGCATAGACTGCATGCACTGGGAGTGGAAGAACTGCCCTTCTGCTTGGCAAGGGCAGTATAAGGGACATGTCAGGGCTTGCACTGTCATACTAGAGGCCGTGGCGTCTCAAGATCTCTGGATCTGGCACTCTTTCTTTGGCATGGCTGGATCACACAGTGATATCAACGTGCTTCAGCGCTCGCCGGTGTTTGCTAGGCTTGCCGAAGGCAACAACCCACCGGTGAACTTTACTGTCAACGGCCACAACTACGACAAAGGATACTATTTGGGTGACGATATCTATCCTCAGTGGACCACTATTGTAAAGACAATACTCAACCCTGTCGGAGAGAAAAGAAAAAGATTTGCCCAAGAGCAAGAGAGTGCTAGAAAGGATGTCGAGCGTGCCTTTGGTGTTTTGCAATCTCGATGGGGCATCGTTCCGTATCCTACTAATACTTGGAGCACGCAGAAACTACGGGAGGTGATGACTGCTTGTGTGATCATGCACAATATGATCGTAGAAGACGAGCGCCCGGAACGTCTGCACGATCAAGGCTTTCAGTTTCAAGGTGAGAATGTTGTGCCTGAGCATGGCGTAGCGGCAACATTTGAGCAATTCACTCAGTTTCATGAAGACATGCGTGATTGGGAAACTCACATGCAACTGCAAAATGATTTTGTTGAGTATATGTGGACTCATGTTGGTAATCAATAGATGTATCTTTTTTTATTCGTTTGCAAAACTATGTGAAACATTTTTATTTTTATTTGGCCTGTAATACTATTTATTTGGGCGTACTATTTTGTTTATTAAATTTTCATTTCACAATATGTTGAATGCAATGCAAAATTGGGCGGTCAGCCGGCCACGCCTGCACATATGGGTCGGCGCGTTGGGCGCGCTGCCGACTCATATGAAAAACAGAACGGACGCCGGGCAGGTGGCCGATCCAAACGGATAAAAAGCGGACGAAATCGCCGGTCCGCCCGTTGGAGTTGCTCTAACTATACTTTTATTGTTGCAACTGTGTTTTACAAGAAGCTAGAAGGAGATTTGTGGTGACGTGGAAGAAACATAGAGAGTTTGAAGTAGTTAACATATGCGGCTGCTAAGTGAGTGAGCGAGTGGTGCACATCCCATCCCATTTTGGCCATCTCCCAAAATCGTTTGGAAAGCTCAGTTGTTTGTCTTTCTTCCTCGGACTGTGCCAAGTGCGGCTTGGGTAGTTGGGAGCTTGGGCGTGGGCGTGTAGGTAGCACGACTGGTCGATCCGGCCATTTAGGTGGAGCACGCGCTCTCCACAGCTCCCATATTTATATGCATGCGCTACGCGGATGGTGGATCCAATCCAACTACCAAACAAACGAACCGAGCTAGCTAGCAGCCATGGATCACGACCTGCTCCTCCTCCTCCTCGCCTCCCTCGCCGCCGTCGTCGCCGCCACCGTCTGGCACCTCCGCGGCCATGGCAGCGGAGCCAGGAAGCCGAAGCTGCCGCTGCCGCCGGGGCCGAGGGGGTGGCCAGTGCTGGGCAACCTGCCGCAGCTGGGCGACAAGCCGCACCACACCATGGCGGCCCTCGCGCGCCACCACGGGCCCCTCTTCCGCCTCCGCTTCGGCAGCGCCGAGGTCGTCGTCGCCGCCTCCGCCAAGGTCGCCGGCAGCTTCCTCCGCGCCCACGACGCCAACTTCAGCGACCGCCCGCCCAACTCCGGCGCCGAGCACGTCGCCTACAACTACCAGGACCTCGTCTTCGCGCCCTACGGCGCCCGCTGGCGCGCCCTCCGCAAGCTCTGCGCGCAACACCTCTTCTCCGCCCGCGCCCTCGACGCCCTCCGCCAGGTCCGCCAGGACGAGGCCCGCCTCATGGTCACCCGCCTGCTCTCCTCCTCGGACTCGCCCGCGGGCCTGGCCGTCGGCCAGGAGGCCAACGTCTGCGCCACCAACGCCCTCGCGCTGGCCGCCGTCGGCAGGCGCGTCTTCGGGGACGGCGTCGGCGAGGGCGCCAGGGAGTTCAAGGACATGGTCGTGGAGCTCATGCAGCTCGCCGGCGTCTTCAACATCGGCGACTTTGTGCCGGCGCTCCGCTGGCTCGACCCGCAGGGCGTCGTCGGCAAGATGAAGCGCCTCCACCGCCGCTACGACCTCATGATGGACGGCTTCATCAGCGAGAGGGGCGACAGGGCTGACGGCGACGGGAATGACCTGCTCAGCGTCATGCTGGGGATGATGCGGCAGTCGCCGCCCGCCGCCGGCGAGGAGGACGGGATCAAGTTCAACGAGACTGACATCAAGGCTCTCCTCTTGGTATGTGTGTACAAACTCAATATTTGTTTTCATGTGTTTATTTATTATTAAAAGCTTTGCTGACCATATCTACAAGATCAAAGTTCCAAGGTACACTAGTATAAGATTTTTTGTGTTTATTAAAAACTTTCTTTTTTGTGCGCAAAGATTTTGGTTATGTCACTTGTTTTAGTATGAACTAAATGCACATTTTACCTTTTTTTAGAATCTGTTCACCGCTGGGACGGACACGACATCAAGCACGGTGGAATGGGCACTGGCGGAGCTGATACGACACCCAGACGTCCTCAAGAAGCTCCAACACGAGCTCGACGACGTTGTCGGAAATGGCCACCTCGTCACAGAAACCGACCTGCCGCAACTCACCTTCCTCGCCGCCGTCATCAAGGAGACGTTCCGGCTGCACCCGTCGACGCCACTCTCCCTTCCTCGGGTGGCCGCCGAGGACTGCGAGGTGGACGGCTACCGCATCCCCAAGGACACCACCCTGCTCGTCAATGTGTGGGCCATCGCCCGTGACCCGGCCTCATGGGGGGATGACGTCCTAGAGTTCAGGCCCACCCGATTTCTTCCAGGTGGGTTGCACGAGAGCGTGGACGTCAAGGGAGGCGACTATGAGCTCATTCCTTTCGGGGCGGGTCGAAGGATATGCGCGGGCCTCAGCTGGGGCCTTCGGATGGTCACACTCATGACTGCCACGCTCGTGCACGCGTTCGACTGGACCTTGGTTGATGGCATGACACCTGAAAAACTCGACATGGAGGAGGCCTATGGTCTCACCTTGCAGCGGGCCGTGCCGCTAATGGTTCAGCCCGTGCCGAGGCTACTGCCATCGGCGTACACAATGTGATGTTTTATCATGGATCTTTGGCGTGTTTTGGTTCCCTTTCGATCCGATGTACCTTGTGTTAATTATTTCATATTGTTTGGATCGGTTGTAAAAGAAAAGTGTGCGCGGGCGTGGCGGTGGGTTATCAATTACTCTGGAAAAATAAGTATGATATTATTTTGGAAGGGATGGGAAGCCAAGGAAGACTAAATGTACACACTGTATATTTAATATGTTGGCGTTTGTTTTGTTACTAATTGCACCGACGTGTCGTTGGGGACATTCGATATATTTTGGCATTTATTTTCTTGCTACTAGCTGGGTGTCTGATCCACTAATGTAATAAGCTCCAAACAAGCAAGCACCTTGTAATTTACTGGTGAAAAATGAACAAGTGGCGAAATACTTTTCATTCATCTTAATTGTATTTCTTTCAGACATGAAAGCTATGTGAGAAAGATGCTACTAATTAATTCTATCACGCGTTTGCACTTCCTCACAGTTACTCATTTACAATTGCGGACATAGAAACAAACCAAATTTCATACTTTCCATCGTAATGTGGATGCTATTTTCTGGTGCATGCAAAGGGTGAATCATATTTGATGCCCGCAGGGGTTAAATGGACGCCGTGACGGCCCAGTCGCGGGTTTCATGCGGTTTTGTTCACGGCACTGCTGCAACATTTATTTCTTGGTTTTCAGTTTGTGCTTTTTTGGTTATCTATTTTGGATCTTTTTGTTATTTTCACTATCTTTTCTTCTTTTTTTAATTTATCAATCTACTTTTTTTTATAAATGAACATTTTCTCAAAACAAGGTGAATATTTTTAAATATATACTGAACATTTTGTAATATACGATGAATCATTTCGAAATATGTTAATTTTTTTTGTAATATATGGTGAATATTTTTATATACAATAATATCTTCTTCTTACACACTAATGTTTTTGTATTATATGGTGAACCATTATTTAAAAATATGAAGTGAATATTTATATAAGGCGAACATTTTTAAAACTAAACCTATTTTCTAACTCGAACATAAATATATTTAAATATATATTTTTATAAGTTAGAATATTAAATTTATTGTAAGAGCACATTTTTAACAAATATATTTTAGGGAATTTCAAAAAAAAATAGTTTCACCAGAAAGTTTGAAAAACATAATTGACCTATGCACTTCTAGCCCTTTTAGATAAATGTGGGTGTTTCCTCGTCTATCTGACGCGGGCGCCCCTATGTGTCGCTTATAGTGAGACCTAGGCAACCCTCGCCCGAGAGGCTCGATGGGCCAGCCCAGGGCACGCGAGGCCACAGCCTCGTTTTTCTTTCTGTTTTTTTCACGTTTTTTTTTAAGTTTTTTGCTTTATATGTTTACTATTATTTATACATTGAAATATCCTAAATATATACATTAGAAAGAACACTCTACATAAAGGTTTTTCAAAAATGTTAAACAAGCATTTGAGAAATGTTAGATGTATATAGAGAAAATATTTATCATGTATATGAAAAATGTATGCAAAAAATAAAAATGTGTATAAAAAATATTTGATGATGAATTTAAAAAATATTAATCAAGAATTTGAAATTTTTTGAACAAAAGAAGATTAAATGTGTATAGAAAATTTGTTGACCATGTACTTAAAAAACTATGATTTCTTATAATGTACTCCCTCCGTCCCAAAATAAGTGACCCAATTTTGTACTAGCTTTAGTATAAAGTTAGTACAAAGTTGAGTCACTTATTTTGGGACGGAGGGAGTATAAAAATGTTAAACAAGCATTTGAAAATATGTTGAACAAGCATTTAAAAATTGTTAATCAATCACTTGAAAAATGTTAAATGTGTATAAAAAAATCTTGATCATTTATTAAAAGCCGATGATTTTTTTGATCAAGTATAGAAAAATATTAATGAAGCATATGAAAAAGAATGCTGAACAAGTATTTAAAAAATGTCAACCAGCCAGTTGAAAAATGTTAAATGTTTTATAAAATGTTAAAAAATGTGAATAGAAAAAATTGTGTATGGAGAAACAATGAAAACCCTATGGAAGACAAAAAAAAAGGACAACGCTAACGCCCACATGTGTGGTGGGAGCCAAACCCGTCCACACACCCTATAACACACAAACTGCGCCACGTCACCGCATGTATGCATGTGGAAATCATTTTGTTTTTTTAGTTTTAAAAATGTTTTATCTTTTAAATAGAAAATCTGATTAAAGATCCATTTTCACCATTAAATCCCTCGCGACGAGATCTTCGAAACTAGATCTCATATCAATATATTTTGACGAATTTTTTGGGGGTTAAAAGTTGACATGTCTATTGCACATGAATTGCCATCAGGTTTACACTGAAGTTGCCATGATATGTTTCAGCTATTTTCTTCTACATTTAAAAGTAATTTTTGACATATTATAAAACAGGGAAGTAAGAAACTAGACTTGCCATGAACCATAAACTAAAATTGTCATGATACATGCACTTAAAACTGCCATGGTTCATAGAAAAAATAATTTTCATGATCAAAGTACTGGAATTGCCATAATCAAAAAATTAAAATTGGCATGCTCTACAAACTAAAATTGCCGCATGGCAACTTTAGTTTAAGCACTATGTCAACTACAGTGTAAACATCATGGCAAGTTTTGGGAATTTTTTTTCATCGAAACATATCAATATGGGGTCTAGTTTTGAAGATCTCGTCGAGATTGATTTAATGATGAAAACGGATTTTTAATTAGAAGATAACACATTTTTAAGCCGAAATCCAAAAAAATCCTGCTAATGTCAGCTGTTCTTACGTGGCAAAATGAGTGGTGATGGAGACGTGTGGGCAATGTGCAAGATGCCACACGCGTGGGCGTTAGTTTTTCTAAAAAAGAGATGAAAACAAGAAAGAAAAAAATAAAACAAAAGAAAAATAAAGAATATGAAAGAAAATAAAAAAACCATTGAAACCTGGGAAAGAACAAAGAAAACCAAAAAGTGCAATGAGAAAAAAAAGAAATGGAAAAAGTAAAAACAGAGGAAGAAACGGACAATAACTGGTGAAGAACAATGAAAAACAAAGACATTTTTTTGGAAAGCCAGTGGAAACCTAACTGTTTGCCTTCAACTTGTTAGCGCCCGTTAGTATAACGCGAACTTGACGCTAGCTTAGGGGCTAGCAGCGCTATGCCTTAATCAAGAGATCGTGGGACCAAACCTCGCTCACTATGCGAGAGAAGCTACCGTCTCGCTATTAGCGAGACCTAGGGCCAGAAGGTAAACACCACCCAGGCCCGTCCACAAGAACATTGCCAAGGGGCACTCGAAGAAGATGTGGCATGTCGTTTCTATTAGGACGTTGCAGGACCGGGAAGCATGCCTTGCTGTGCTTAGACCCCTTCTTGAGCAAGGAGGTCCTCTACCGTATCCCGAACCACGATAGTATCCTAGCACAAAACTTCACCTTCAAGGGAGCAAAATTGCCCCGAGTGAAGAGAGTGGATATGCCGCTGAAACCAAATATTTTATACAAGGCCAAGACATCCAGGTTTAGGCGGACAACTCTTTCTCTGGATACCATATTGATCAATTTAGTATTTGGGATCATCTTGCGGATGTGATTACTCACACCTTATCTGTTAGCATCCAACTCGGCTTAGCCCACACCCAACTCATTTTTTGAACGTATATGCGCACATCGGACCAACATTCAGCGGAGAGCGCACTCCATCCCAAAAGGCCGTACCGAAGGTAGGAGAAAATCTCTCCCTTATAAGATGGTTGTGGCCTCCTCCCATAAGCAAGGTTGGTCTAAACTCGAGCTAGTCTCACCGGCCTACAATAAGCATGACATCCCACCTCCCAGAGAACCCCTCAGGGAAGCATGGCGATGCTGGCTCTATTACCAGATGTTAGCGCGCCTTAGCCCATACCCACCAGCTCATGTTCTAGATGTTTATGCGCACACGGGCCAGCATTAGGCGGAGTGTCCACTCCATCCCAAAAGCCTAGACTGAAGGGAGAAGGGAATCTCTCACTTATAAGCTGGTTGTGGCCTCCTCCCATAAGCAAGGTGGGACTAAACACGAGAAACCCTCACCGGTCTACACCAGCCCTAACATCAAACCCCCCCTCCCTGAGAAGCCCCTCAAGAAGACATGATGATGCCGGCTCTCTTACAAGATGTTAGCGTCCAATTCGGGTTGGTCCACACTCAACTCACGTTCTGGACGTTTATATGTACACAAGCCATCATTCAGCGGGGAGCCTTCTTCATACCAAAAGCCCGGACTGAAGGGAGGAGGAAATCTCTACCTTATTATAAGATGGTTGTGACCTTCTCCCATAAGCAAGATGCGACTAAACCTGAGCCGACCTTACCGGCCTACAGTAGCCCAAACATTACCTCATACACGTATCTCATGCATGCCCAGGGTTAGGCAATTAACAATGTGTTTTGGCTCTGCAGATCGCTTATGATCTCGGATTGGATTGATCCAAGAAAAAGAGTTGTTCATCTGAACAAAACACACAAGTTTAATGTTGAGAACTTTCTCATTTGAGGTCTTTTTATTTTGCAGAAATCGTTTGAGGTCTTCTTGAGAACGGGTTCATGCAAGCGAAAATACTGAGGGTTAGTCATAACAATATGCAACGGGGACCTCACTCTTCTAGAACCAACAATATGCAACATTAGGTAGATGGCTCTCCATGTTGTTTGCGGCAGTTCATCTTTGACAAACATGTCCTTAGAGTATCTCCAGCCGTTCAGCCCATAGGACGCCGAAGAAGAGCCGCTTGGGGCTGAACCGACGCTTGCTTGGCGCATGGGGGCGACTACGTTCCCAGTCGATGCCCCCAGGTTGCCGCCAAAATCGCGCGAATTCAGCCATATTCCAAACAAATTTGTAGAAACTCGGCGATATTTCATTGAAATTTATAAAAAAACATAAAAACATGCAAACTACGCTAAACTACGTCTATCCTTGCTACGCGGTGGCCACCGCCCACCAT